ATATTCAAACTCAGACAGAAATCTCATTTGACCAATGACGGGAGGTTAAATGTCACTGTGGGATTACAACAAGCAGAAAATGAGGAAAGTTGTCGTATCTTTAAAACTAATCGGCCTGTATTGTTTGACCCTCTCATTCATCAAAACTAAAATCGCCAAAACTCATCAAGTGGATGTCATATTTTTATGACTCCTGGCTCATAGCAAAAAATTGTGAATAATGAATGCTGCCCCTAATACTTTTTTTTTCTAACCGGTTTGCAGTTTGCAATGAACAAATTCACCTCTTTGGATTTTTTTTTCTGTGAAACTGATCCCTAATCACTTCGATATGAGTTTTTTTTTTTATTTCATTTAATTTTTTTTTACCTTAGATGGAGCTGGGAATCTTATGGCGTAACCGCGTACAAAAATATCCGCATAAGTGCACTGTGTGAAATTTTATGTTGGTGACCAATCGTCAATGTCTTTATGTAAGTCTGTGACAGCATGCAAACGCATCATGTTTTTCTGCATAATTTTTCACCTTAAAAGTGAATTCCGGAAAGTTGTCGTATCTTTAAAACTAATCGGCCTGTATTGTTTGACCCTCTCATTCATCAAAACTAAAATCGCCAAAACTCATCAAGTGGATGTCATATTTTTATGACTCCTGGCTCATAGCAAAAAATTGTGAATAATGAATGCTGCCCCTAATACTTTTTTTCGAACCAGTTTGCAATGAACAAATTCACCTCTTTAGATTTTTTGTGAAACCGATCCCAAATCACTTCTAGTTGAGTTCCTTTTTCCTTCGTTTTTTTTCTTTTGTTGTTTGTTTTTTTACCTTAGATGGAGCTGGGAATCTTATGGCGTAAGAGCGCACAAAAATATCCGCAAAAGGGCACTGTATGAAATTTTATGTTGGTGACCAATCGTCAATGTCTTCATGTAATTCTGTGACAGCATGCAAACGCATCATGTTTTTTCTGCGGAATTTTTCACCTTAAAAGTGAATTCCTACCCCCGATTTGAATGAAAAAGTAATACGGCTTAAAGAGATTGCGTTCATCATTAACAAATTGTTTGTTTTCTGCTGACTTTGATTATTCGTCACGCTCATTCCGACGTCGGCTTTGTGCCGACACGTACACTTTGACGCGCCATTAAACCGAAGCGAAAGCACAACAGCATGTTTGACGGCCAATGTGAAGGTTTAATACCTTTGGAAATACACGCGGTTGTTCTTTGGCTTTGATGTTGTCTTTTACGGGCGGAAATTAATCAGTTGACGTCGATCAATAGGTGCTGTTGGTGCAGTTCAAGCGTATTTTCAAATGATGGATTTACATTCAAATACGTTATTTTTATTCTATGTCCTGCAAAGTGACATGGTCTTATTTGGCTTCTCAACATACTCGAAGCGTATGAATAATAATATTGCCTTTTATAGAAGCAAAAATCATTTTTAGCCATACCTAGCACAAGTTGGCTTATCTTGTATGTCTTTAAAAGTTAGCATTTTCTAAGCAGGACCCTACCGATTCCTCAAAATGGACCGAAAATCTTGTTTTTGATTGAGAGAAGTCACCTAAAATATGCAGAAAATTTCAAGAATGTCACGATAGCTTGTCATACGTGAATGAAATGAACTGTGGAGGAAAAACAGCCCTCTCTGGCCCATCTTGTACTTCTTACTTTGTGCTTCTCGGTTATTTTCTGTTATACCCCCCGCGAAGAAGAAAACATTTGGCGCCCCCTCAAATCTCTGCCGCGACTATAAAAAGTATAATTTTTCCATAAAATTCTTATAACTGCACCTATAACTTGAACATGTTTTTTTAGTCTGTCACTGAAAAAAATGGAAGTGCATCAATTTGCCTGAAATGAAAATAAATAAATGAGAGATATACTGCCACCTACAGTAGTTGATGTGCAATTACACTTTATTCTTGTATGGCAACCCCCCCCCCACCCTCCCCAAAAAAAACAACAACACATATTACTCTGGGGGGGTGGGGGGGGCACTATTTGAGAAGTACTGCTCTAATTTGATCTGCAAGAAACCATTGTACTGAGGAAAAACAACCAATCAGAGACAGGGGGCGTGACTGACAACGTGCCAATTGTCTGAGTGTTTGAATTGACTCTTCTTTTTGACTTGTGCCCAGGTGAATCCTTACACGCTGCGCTTCGAGGGCACGTGGGAGACCAGCTTTGACAAGCGGGTGGCGTCCAACGCCTTCATGGCTTGCGGCGTGCTCTACGCCGTGCGCTCCGTCTACCAGGACGACGACAGCGAGGCCGGCGGCGACCTGCTCATGTACGCCTACAACACCAACCACGGGCGCGAGGAGCCCGTCAATATCGCCTTCCCCAACCCGTACCAGTACATCTCGTCCGTCGACTACAACCCCCGTGACAACCAGCTCTACGTGTGGAACAACTACAACGTGCTGCGCTACCCGCTGGAATTCGGTCCGCCGGACCCCACCACAGGTTGGCACCGCACTTTGGGCCCGTAATAAAGTAAAAGAGCAATTACTGTCAATCTTAAAAGTTGCAAATTGCTGAGATAAACCTCGGTGAGACCCGTCCGAGTCGTGCAATCAATCTTAAAGTGACAGGCGACTATTAAAAGTTGACACTGCAAATAAAATGAAACCTTTCTGCTCTCGACTGTGACAGCAAATGTTATAAATGAAACGTAGCCCACGGCAGTTAACTCGGGGTTAGATTTATTCAACAAGCTCACATCTTATTTGCATGAAAATGTATTTAAGTGTCATCAGTCAACTTTGCTGTTTTCAAATCCTTTGGCTTTTTTTTTTTTTTTTTTTTTCCCTGGATATAATTCCACGTATTTTCTTTTATCAATTTTAAAGATCTTCCCTGTGTGACACCGTTGTGATAATTTCATGTTTTGGTATATCCTGTTTCCACTTCGTTTTTTCCCTTATATTTTACTCACTGTACCTGTATTAACCCTTTCAGGGACAGCGGTTACTACAGTGGAAAGTTTACCACGTTATCAGGTTGCAGGGTGCATGAAAGGGTTAATGGTGAATTTGGGGTTTTGGGTAGCTATGAGCTATAAAAAAAAAGAAAAAAAAAGAAAGAAAACAATGTCCATTTTTCATATGTACCTGTTAGATTAATACCGCTCTCTCTTATTTATTGATACAACTCTTATATTGAGGATCTTATTAGATTAATGTTCACGCTGCCTTCAAATTAGCATTTTATTTTGCTCCAGATTGACTCTTTTGATTGGTCAACCCCCTCAGAACCTCTCCTCGCCTCTATTCCCGTCGACATCTGTCTGCAGCGAGCGCCAACAGGCCGCTTTTAAATCTCCAGCTGTTGTCGCAGCGGCGACGGGAAGGCGCGTCTCAACTGCTCCGTGTCATCGATAATGAAAAAGTCGCGGGCGAAAGTGATAAAGCAAGTGGGTTGGGAGGAGGAAGAGGAGGATGAGATGAGCATCTTGGCAACGCGTCAGTGTAAGAAGCGAGCTCCGGCGGAGCTGGAGCCACATGAAGGTCTTGTGTGAGTGATGCGCAGATGTGCGCTGCTGCGTTTGATCACTCAGGATTTTGCCATTGTGATGCGCGGCTTTTATCTTCCCATTTAGTCTTGTTGTTAGTGATGGTGACTTCTCCCGTACATTTGATCAATTATTTACTTCTGCCTGACTTGTGATGAGGCCTCCTCACTATCTCATCGCCCCCTCGCCCACCCAATACCCCCTATAGGCGCACTCTCTGGGGGATGCTTTGAAGGACCCCAAAAAGTATTTGTAACCCCAATTATTTCCAGGGCTGTCTTTCAGAAGTGCCATTTTATATTCCCTTTTGAACCTCGGGAAGACGTCATCTACAGTATTCACATACATCTCTCACGCTTGATCTTATTTGGAGCTTTTTGCTGCCGGCGTCTTACTCCAGTGTTACCTCGAAATACGAGCGACTCAGCGTCATTCAGACAATTTCAGCGCTTTTATTTGTGGGCAAAAATGTTCGCTGTTAGCTACCTCATAGCATCTGTGTCGCGGTATCAAAACTCTTGAAGCAAAAGCTGGTGGAAACAACACGCAACATATGCATACAGGCAATATAATAAAACTCACAGGCATATATTCTTTATCCTCTGCAAAGTAACATTTTTAAAATCATATTTGCCAGTCTATGTTGCTGTGCATGTCAAATTTTTATACAGTTCCCTTCACTGACACACTCCCTAAATTCTGTATTTCTCTCAGGTCCTCTAACCACCACGCAGGTGACCACCACCCTGGCGGCCCGACCCTTCACCTCCAGCACCAGCCCCTCCACCGCCCGACCAGTGGCTCCAACCCTGCGGCCCATCGGCTCCATCAATAAGCATCCCGACCTCCGGGCCATCACGGCCACCGTGCCCGTCAACCGCTGGACACCGCCGTCCTCGCAGGGCCCCCACGTCTGCGAGAGTAAGCTGGTGCGAGGCGTCCAGTGGCCCAGCACGCTGAGAGGGGAGACGGTGGACCGCCCGTGTCCCAAAGGATCACTCGGTAATGGACGTTTCTTTTTAATGCAGATAATGATTCACCAGTGTGACAATCAGCTGCAGTATAATGTCGACCACTGCAAAGGAGGACTCAGATTTTTTTTATTTTTGCCTTAAGTACCGGTGGCTGTTATCGGCAGCCACCATAAGTACCCGATATCTGAAAATAAGGCTCGTATTGGCCGCATACTAATACCTGGTATCTCGCCCATAGATAGCATACAACCATATCAAGTCAGCATAACCAACTCTGAGTACACACCAAGACCCTTGATATCTAAAATTTAATTTAAAACGATGATAAAAAAAATTTGAGCAAATACCTTGTCAAACTGCCGCAGTATCATCCCATCTACTGCTGTGTAGGGTTCACACAATGTCAGGCATTTTTGCCTGAAGTATCAGTGGCTGGTATCATCAGCCTCCAAGAGTACCCGATGCTTTAAAACAAGACCGGCATCGGCACAATACCGAATGGTTCCATCAGGACTCACCCATCCCTATTACAGAGTGCTATTTTACTTATTAAAAAGCACATTATTAACTTTCTTTGTTGGTGTTTTTTATTCATTTCAATGGAGAAAGATGAATTGAAATTTCAAGGCACTGCTTGTACAATACTGTCGAGGGCTATTTTCTGAGCTCATTGTTTTTTTGGTTTTTTTTGGCACTGGAACAGATTAAAAATGTTTTAAAATACAATTGTGCAGTGTAAAAATCCAAATTAAAAAAATATATTGCTTCGCTTAAGAAAAAAAATGCAATACCGGGGAACACTTTTTATTCCATGTGAGTTGTACTCAAAATGTCCTCTATGCACGTGATGCCATGGGGAAAAAAAATGTAAAAAAAAAAAAATGTATCTATAGTTTTGGTCTTGTCGCGTCGTCCTGACCAGCAGGCAAACGTCCCAGAGGACTCGCAGATGAAAACTGCTCCTCCACAAATGAAAGGCTCATCTCCCACAGAAAGCGAGCTGATTGAAAGTGGCGAATAATGAAATGAAAGCCGAGGCAACACAGGCCTCATCTCCTTCTTCTTTTTTTGGTCTAGCTTCTATTCTTCCAAACGTGGCAGCCGGGCAAACTGTTCTTTCTTCCTCTCGCTCTCCTAGTGTTGTTGTTTGCTGTGTGTGCAGGATGTTTCGCTCTGTGGGAATACATTAACGTTACATTAGCCGCACTAAATTAGCTCTCGAAGCCAATCTGCATGCGCTGGACAAGAGCAGGAAATAGGGCGTTTAAATGCAACAGCGCGTCGTCTCTGATCCTTTTGCTTGCTGTGTTGTCTTTAATCGCTTCTCCTCGTCTTCTTTTCTTCGCTCTTGTGTTTGCATCTCGATGCTGGTTGTTTGTGCTCGTAGCGGACGGACGCTTCTCCGGGCTCATCCCAGAGTGCTGTCCTCTCCGTGAACCTGCTCCACTAAACACGACATGCTGGATGGAAATGACAGCCGGGGTAGAAGAAGACGCTTCCCTTCGGGGTGGCGGGGAGGCTTTTATACGATCGCAAGGGATCATGTGTGATGTCTTTTTTTTTAGTACATTCTTTGCGTTAGGGTGCATTTTAAACGGTTGCTTTTCTTAACAGCGTGTAAGCCTATTTCTGAACCTGTCGTCTCCACCCCGACTACCCGGTTTACCCCGTGTCCCTCCGTTACTTAGCCCTGTAGCGGCCAGCTGTGACAAAGAATGGACGCTTCCAAGTGACGCCTAAATCAATTTCTGTGGATGAGAAAATACAGTAGGTCGTATTAACAGGGTAATAGTTTCTATGATATTAGTCTGCGAAGAGTTTAGCACAAAAAAAAAATGGTGTGATCCAATCTTACTTTTTAATCTAAGTGAGGAAAATCTTAAGGCTAAGCATGGACCCTTGAGGCACACCGGATGTGGCCTCAATTACACTGTTCCTTTTTGTTGAGGTAATCAAGAAGGCACAAATTTTCTTGACAAAAACCTTTTTGATATCACAGTCGCTGTGATATATTAGTACCTTAGGATCTCTTTTAGCTGAATAAATTTGGGCAAACTTGCTCTGTATCAAACATTGAAATTGACTTCATTTAAAACACACTCACACACTTTCTGTCCTTTAATTGCACACACCTAATGCACTTTATCTCTCCACTGTGCTGGTCTCCAGGTATCGCTTCATTCCAGTGTTTGGCCGAGCAGGTCATGTGGAACCCACGCGGTCCTGACCTGAGCAACTGCACCTCCCCGTGGGTCAACCAGGTAGCCCAGAAGGTGAGACCCCGAAGCCTGCTCCTCTTGGCCTCCTTGTGGCCTCCTGGCCCTGCTCCATGCTTCCCCACGTGGCTCCTCGTGTATTTACATATCTCCAAGGCTGGCCTTATTAATATACACACTCATTTAAGATGGCCCTTCATTATCACCCATCTGCTCTTAATCCTTAATTAACTCACTCTCGTACACTTGAAGTCAAGTGAATTTCCATTATTTTTAGCAAGCAGGTCAACCCAGTCACTCTCAATCAAAAAGTTAAATGTACTCATTTAAGAATATGTTTATTAAGCTTCCTGGTATTGTGTTTCGATGGAACAGGAAGAAAGTTCCTGGGTCAGTTTGACCCGGGGCGTGTTTCATGATGCAAAATGTCACCACTGTTACCTTGAAAATGATTACTTGCTTTAAAAAGTAAGGGAGTTCCTTTATCGATGAGTTGATTTTTAAAAATAATGAAGTTTCCAAGTTCATTTATTGTGGTTACATTCAGCAAATACTGGCAACCCTGCTTCGCATTAAAATGACATCTGGTGACATTTAACCATAAAGTTTGTTTTTAGTAAAAAATTGAATGAACCCTTTCAGGGACAGCAGTTGGTACAGTGGACAGGTTATCATGTTATCAGGTTGCTCGGTGCATGGAAGGGTAAAAGACAACCTTTTTACTTACTGTATTTAGTTGTATTTTTTTAAAAAGAGTCTTGTGTGGATTTTGTTTGTTATTAAAAAAATAGAATAAAATTCAAAAAAGTAAAATATACTAAAAATTTAAAATAAAGGCATTTTATTTACCTGACATTTTTAATTACACTGAAAAATATGGTGTGCTAAACTTACAAAATTTTATTTCCTCAAGTGGTTGCAAAAAACCCTCCAAAAAGTGTCCTTGTTTTTAACTTCCAAACACGTAATTGGCAATTCAGCGACTTCTAGCTATAATCAGCATTGTGCCGTCAATTAATCGACTAATTGGTTCGCCCCAAGCGAGACTCCCTGGCGATAAAACGGCCTTCTCTTGAGTCCATTTAGACATGTCTAACTTTTGTCTGCTCGCTTTCCTGGTGGAGAATGGAAAAGTTTCATGCCGTGAATAATCTCCTGCTTTTGGCAACGATCGATAGCAGCCGTGCAAAAGCAGTCGCTCAGGGTGTGATTTGTGTACTGAGCTTCCACTTGACAGTGTGTACTACAAGGTTTGTTTACAAGAGGAGCTGTGATGAAGATCCCTTTCTGAGGGTCTGGGGAAAATGATAACTCAAGAGAGACATTTTTTTTTTTTCATGGAGACACAAAAGGCACGTCGCTTTCTTTTTGCTTCTCCTCGACGTGTGAAGCCGCGCGGTTTGAAATCTTGCGGAATCAAAGCGTGTTGTTTGCGCCGGCTCCTCTTCAATCAAACACGTTGTTGGTGTGCGTTGCGCTCTGAAGATCAAAAGCGGCGAGAACGCGGCGAACATCGCCGGCGAGCTGGCCAACCACACGCGAGGGCGGATCCAGGCGGGGGACATCAGCTCGTCGGTGCGACTGATCGAACAGCTCCTGGACATCCTGGACGCTCAGTTGCAGTCCCTCAGGCCCGGCAACAAGGAGTCGGCCGCTCGCAACTACAACAAGGTGGACTCCCGGAAGTCGTATCGATTGATGCCGCTATTTTTAAGGTCTTTAATTCTTGACTTCTCTTCTTGTCCATCCAGTTCCAGAAGCGAGAGCGGACATGTCGGGCCTACATCCAGGTATTCTTTTGTCTGCCAAACTTTCCACACTTGTGAAGGAGTATGAATCCTCAGGGAGCCTCATTGCCGTCATCTAATTAGTGTTTCTGTCGCAATTGGCAGGTTAAATTAGAGATCAAGAGCGGTTGGTTCAAAAGAGACAATCTAACGGAAAATGTAGCGTTTATACTTAAACAAATGGGAATCAAGCTGTAGTATGTTAACACTGTATGGAAAAAAAATTATTTGATGAAAAGCACGGCATTATGAGGAGAATAACGTTTAAGTACAGGGAAGATAAAATAATCGTGAAAAATAACTTGCCAGATTAAAACTGTAAATTTGGGGAAAAAAAATGTGCAAATAAATGAGAATACGTGTGCCACTGCGAGACGCAAGTTGTAATATTACGAGAAGAAATTGATAATAAAGTCGTACAGAGAGAGAGAAAGAAAATAAAGCTGAAATTTTAATCAGAATATTGTTGGAATATCGATATGAAAACAAAAAAGTGCCATGTGAGGAAACCATTTCATTTTCTGAGAATGTCGTCGGTGTGATGAATGGGCAGCATCGAGAGCCCAATTCCAGCAAAGCAGGCCGGCGGGGCAGGTGTGCAACTCCAAAAATATTTCATTTCTCAAATGGAACACTTTTGGAGGATGAAATGAAATGAAATGATGACAAACGAAATTGTCTGAATGTCCAAATAAACCCAAATTTGGAACTTCCTTTCCGTCATTGGCAACAAGGACTAGACAGGAGTGGCGGAGGAATCTGATTGGTCACCACAAAGGACCAGGCTAACGAGAACAGGCAGACCCAAAACCCGAAACGGACTGACATGAAACAAACCGCAAGAAAAGGAGTCACGACAGGAAACAAAACAAAATCGAATCTCTTCTGCTGAAAACGTAATTTTACTAGAACCCGTCAACGTGACTTTGTCACGGTCATCTCCCCCACCTTGAGCCTGCTACACAATACGTCTGGCAAACATGTCGTTTGACGTGAGTATGTGAAGCGTTTTGTCTTACCAGGCTGCACCTTTTCAATATTTCAGCAATTTCTGCGCTTCTCAGAAACCTGTAACGTAATATCACGGAAACACACCGTGTGCACGCGTGCGTGTGTGTGTCTGTGTCCCTGTGCCTGCGTTTGTCCTTGCAGTGATGAAAGGTGGCTTTCTTTTCTCTCTGACCTTTCTGCAGCACACTGTTACATGAGACCGCGTAAGCTGTTGTTGCTTGAGGAATAGCCCGTACGCGCTATTTTGGACACAATTTGGCAATGATGGAGCCAATTTGAATGTGATGGAGCTTTTATGAGCCGAAAAAGCTCCGCCTGCCTGCCTGCCTGCCCGCCGTGGCACGAGCGACAGAGTAAATCTTTCATTGTGAGAGCCCCCCCACTCCCCCCAAGACAATGACATGATTCATCAAACAGGCTCCTCAAATAAAATGGCCTTTAAATGTATTTTATTTGGGGAAATAGAATGTGTAATATATCTGTCAGAGAGTAGACATCAAGTGGAGGGCGGCGAGGGAGACAAGATAAAGAATAAATGCCAAGAGTTGGGCATTTTTGACATTGGAGTGGCTTGAATTGGGCAATAAATCCGAATGGAGGAGGACGAGGTCCGTTTGTAAATCTTTCTTCATTTGGGGATTTCCTTTTGGAAATGTTGTGAATGAATGGTCATAACTAGGATTTAACTCATGGGATGTTTTGAATTGGTCAAAAAAATTAACAAAACTCTCTTCATTTGGGAATTGGATTTGTGACTTTTGGTAGATGACTTGAATGAGCAGAACATTTTGAAGTGGGGCTGGTTTGAATCGGTCAAGAAATGTGGAGCAAACTCTTATTCGGAATTTTATTTTGCAACATTTGGGTGTTTTGGCAGAGGAGAATAAATGCCAAAAATGTCTTCACTGAGCTGAACATTTTGCTGTTCGGACTGTTTGAATCAGTCAAGGGAACTGGAATTGGAACCTTTGAAATGTTCAACGCTTCTTGTGGAAGTTGCTCATTGTCCGAAAAGTGCGTGTGTCACTCGACACACAAGAATGTCCTGTGGGTGGCAGGCGGTGGTGCAGACGGTGGACAACCTCCTCCGTCCCGAGGCGCTGGACTCGTGGCAGGACATGAACAGCACTGAGCAAGCGCACACGGCCACCATGCTGCTGGACATTCTGGAGAAAGGAGCCTTCCTCCTGGCCAACAACATGTACGGGAGTCGCTTCTCCGACCGGGCGGCCAACGTTGGTGAGCTACGACGACACTCCGCGGAAGCTTCTTTTTTTCTTTTCATCTGATCATCTGATTCAAAACATCTGTTTGTTTTTTTTCCCCTACAAGAACTGGAGGTGCACGTCCTGAACACAGAGATGGACCTGCAGGACTTGTCCTTCCCTCTCAACCACGCCAACGACAGCACCATACATCTGTCGGCGTCCACCATCAAGCAGTACAGTCGCAACGGTCAGCAACGCAAAAATTCCTTCGAACAGGATCGGGATTTTTTTCAGAATGAACACGTGGAACAGCTCAGTTTATTCATTCTTTCATTCATTTTCCGATCCGCTTTATCCTCACAAGGGTCGCGGGGGTGCGAGGGCCTATCCCAGCCGTCTTCGGGCAGTAGGCGGAGGACACCCTGAACCGGTTGCCAACCAATCGCAGGGCACACAAAGACGAACAACCATCCGCACTCATACCTAGGAACAATTTAGAGTGTTCCATTAACCTGCCTTGCATGTTTTTGGAATGTGGGAGAAAACCTGAGTACCCGGAGAAAACCCACGCAGGCATGGGGAGAACATGCAAACTCCACACAGGAAGGCCGGAGCCGGAATCGAACCCTGCACCTCTGCACTGCGAGGCCGGCGTGCTAACCAGTCGACCCCCGGGCGGCATTATTATTATTATTATTATAATAATTATCAGAATCATTTCAAACAAGTCCAGTAATCACAATAGTTGATAAGCATGCGTGCTTTTGTGTATGTGTGCACATGCGGTAACGATCGCGGGAGGTTGGTTGCTTGAAAAGTCGATCTTCGGTCAAGAAAAGTTGGGCGCCCCTGATCTAAATTAATGCAACAAGTATGAGAGAAGTCTTAGACAATACAATACGTGTTTATTTATATGGTGCTAATAATGTAAGTGCCTAGTGGATCGCATTTAAGAACATAGCGGACCATGAGCGTCCCACGGGCCATGCTTTGCCCACCCTGGTCCACCTTAACACTCCAATCACTCTCTTCACAGCCCATTTGCATTTTTATGCAAGCCTAAAGCAACGACTGAGTTAGTGCTTCATAATAACAGACTAATCAGATTAACGAAAAGCGCTGAGACCATTTATTTTTCTTCCGCTCGGCGACGGTTTGGAGTCTTAATAGAATGGCCGGGCAGGCATGTCGATCACAATCAGGCCCGCCGGTCGCACCCGGCAATCTCAGCAATCTTCCGCTCTCATCCCAATCCCTCCTCTGTTGTCTGTCTGCGCTCGGCAACCAGATTAGAATGATTGAAACAAACGCACATGAAATATTCATACGGAATAATAAGAGATCCGTGAATGCTTGAGGGATGAATGTTCCATTGCCCTCCGCATTAAATCTGGCTCGCCGTCACCCACTCAAATGAAACGCTCCTTCCCATCATTCTAACCTTCACTAACTCCCTCCCTTTGTCTCCCGCTCTCTCGCCCTGTCACTCCACGCCCTCCATATCTGTCACTCTTACCGCCATTAGCATATTACGCCCCCGTTTCGACTTCAATTTGCGCTCCCTTTTTTTTACTTTCCACTCGTCTCACTGTCTCTCACAGGGCAAGTGAAGGTGGTGTTCATCTTGTACAAGAACCTGGGCTCCTTCCTGTCCACCGAGAACGCCACCGTCAAGATGGACGCGCGATCAGCCCACGGCCGGAGGCGCCTGGCGGTCAACTCCCACGTCATCTCGGCCTCCATCAACAAGGAGTCCAGCCGCGTGTTTCTCACCGAGCCCGTGGTGTTCACGCTCAAACATCTACAGGTGAAAAAATTTTCAGGGGGGCTGGAGGTAGGAGGTTGTTTTTGTTTGTGTTTTTTTTTTTTTTTAAGTGTCTATTTACATCCATATTAGGGGTGTGTATCCACAACAGATGATTCGATACATGGGGTGCGAAACGATTCAAGGACGGCTCTCTTTGAGAGTGGATCGATTCGATTCGGTTCGACTCAGTGTGATTCTGATTCCATTTGATATGGAACAGCTCAGTTTGAGAGTGTGTGATGTAATGACTTTTTTTTCCCTTGCCATTTGGCGTCCATTTGAATGAGCTTGTCAGTACTTCAAATGCGCCATTTCCTTTTTGGATAAAATTTCTCCGATTTGATACATATCTCGGTATATTTCAAAGTTCAGCATGATTTAGTTTGAAATCTTGGTTTTTCTTCTCTCAGTTGGAGAATTATTACAGCCCAAACTGCTCCTTTTGGAACTACTCAGAGCGCTCCATGACGGGCCAGTGGTCTACACAGGGCTGCAGGCTGCTGGAGACCAACAGCACACACACCACCTGTTCCTGCAGCCACCTCACCAACTTCGCCGTGCTCATGACGCACCACGACACCGACGTGAGTACGCGGGAAGGCCTCATTCGACGACTTGTTGGATTTTGAACCATCTGATGCGCTCGTGTGATGAAGACTCTTAAGAATATTTTAGGGTGATTGAAAAAGTGCAACCCCGCCCCCAAAAATAAAAAGAATAATAAATAGCCGATTATTAATGGGAATATTGGAACTTTGTTGCTTGATTTAAAATACTATGTACAGAGAGCAGAGTTCCGAGTTTTCATGGAGTTTTTAGCACGTGTTACGCCGCTGGGCTAGCCAACCTGGCTGTCATAGTACCTTGCTAGCTAGCATGGTCTTTGAGCTCTCTTTATTTTATCAATAGCTCATTAGTCAGCTCTATTCCATCCTTTGAGTTACTAGGCAATGAAAGTAATTTAGATGTCAGTGTGCAAGTGAGATCTTATATTTGTGTTGTGACAGGAGCAAACATGTTGTTCTTTTGAACGGCTCCTTTGTGGTGAATGATGAGAACCGGTTTGCAGCTGTGAGTGGGCCGTTTGGGTTCTTTTTTTAAAAAATATGTTAACCAATTTGGTATTTGGTAACATTGAAGCAATCTGGTTAAATATGCAAAATATAAGGCAGAAAATAAAATGGCTCCAAATTCTGGAGTGTGGAATTTATTAGTGTATTTTGTGATAACTGGGAAAAGATGACATAGTCCTGGAAACATCCTGGAAAATAATTTCAAGAAAAGAGAGGTAACCCTGAAAAAGTCTCATGATATTACCAGTGAAGGGATAATTGATTGTTAATTTTCCCGATCAGTGATGAAGGAAATGCCTGGCAGTGCCCCCCCCCCCCACTCCTCTAATGGCCATGCAGTCCATCAGTGGGAGTAATTAATGCAGACACATTAATGCACGCTCCACGGCCTGACAGGCTCTTTGTTTCGAAATATTTCTCTCTGTCCGTCTTTCAAGCCAACACTAGCAGAGGCTTACAAATTCCTGTCTTCCTCTTTCCAGCTGACATTCACATGATTTTTTTTCTTTTTTTTTTTTTTACCCAGGACGTCTTGTCTCTTGTCTTCACACTTTAGCTCTTTGCATATATTTCCAAATATTAAATGGAGCGATGTTGCCTTTCCTCTCCCTTCCACCTTTGTTCTGTCGCTCTGCGTGCTCATCGCTCATCCCGGTGTCTTCTTCTCACTTTGTCTCATGTTGTTGCCACCTCGCTTTGTCTCATTTGTCCTCACGCCCCTCCCCTTCTTTTTCCCTCGGTTCGCGGGGGGACTCAGTTCCAGGGCAGAATGCACGAGCTGATCCTGTTTGTGATCACCTGGGTGGGCATCGTCATCTCGCTGGTGTGCCTGGCCATCTGCATCTCCACCTTCTGCTTCCTGCGCGGCCTGCAGACCGACCGCAACACCATCCACAAGAACCTGTGCATCAACCTCTTCATTGCCGAGCTGCTCTTCCTCATTGGCATAGACAAGACCGACTACCAAGTGAGCCTGAACTGTGAATAGATTGTAAATTCTGTCGGCTCGAATCGGGAGGGGCGGGGAAGATTGTACGCGAGCACAGGACACTTCATTAGGTACCGCTGCACCAACAAACAGTGTACCTTTACGAACCTTTACCTTTAAGAATCAAGCATTAACACAATTCTCATTCTTCCCTTTGTCCATGATGATCAGCTCCATATGGAAGTCGGTGTTAGCACAAAACGTTCAGGGCTATACTAGAAAGCAAAAAAAAAAAAAAGGCAAGAAAAGCCTACTAGAACAACCAAACTTTATTTGTGGTTTATCAGAGATAGTTTAACTGATGCCATGTGTCTGCTGATTCCCATTTAACACAAATTTGAATGTGACGGGTTAACTCATTCAGTACCAGCCAATTCTGGACCAAGTCTGGAAAGACGTTTAAAAATGTCTTTGGGAGTGATTGAGTTAATTGTAAACGTAGCCACATTCCGATTCCCAGACTTGCGCAACCACATTACGTTAGGTGTTAATTTTTACTCCCCCCAAAAAACATTTCTTTCTTAGAGAGTTGCAATGATTTATCTTGGTCTCATTATTTTATATCCCAAGAAAATTGACATTTGAAAAGGGGTGTGTAGACTTTTTATATCCACTTGAAGTCAGCCCAGCTTCTCCTTTTGTACTGCACCAAAATACCGCACTTGCTGATAGTTTTCCTTCTCTTCTGTCCTCTCCCCCTGAATTTCCTCCTTGCTCTTCCATTTCCAACCCACCTCCCGCCTCAACCCCCACCCCCGCTTCAGATCGCTTGTCCCATTTTCGCCGGACTGCTGCATTTCTTCTTCCTGGCCGCCTTCTCGTGGATGTGTCTGGAGGGCGTGCAGCTCTATCTCATGCTAGTGGAGGTGTTTGAGAGCGAGTACTCCCGCAAAAAGTACTACTACCTGTGCGGCTACTGCTTCCCCGCGCTGGTGGTGGGCATCTCTGCCGCCATAGACTACAGGAGCTACGGGACCAAGAAAGCGTACGTGCCGAGACCGGCCCTCATTTTTCTTTTTTTATTTTCCCCTGTTGTCTTTTTTTTTTTTTTTTTTGCACCTGCTGATTCAGAATTCCCCCGGGTGGGGAGTGTAATATCCCGCGCCTCCCCGCAGACCGCCCTCCGTGAACACACTTAGCCAAAAGCCTGATGATTAGCCTTCACATAATAATCCGCCGAGGCAGACAAATAGTGTGACTCTGTTTGAGCTCACTTCGGTCTAATTCCCTTCTCCTCTGTGTGCCACTCCAGATGCTGGCTGCGGGTGGATAACTACTTCATCTGGAGCTTCATTGGACCCGTTTCATTTGTTATTATGGTATTAGCTTTACTGTCTGCCAGCGTGATGGCTCTTTCTCTCGCTCACGTGCGCTTTCGATATTGCGCAGTCAAACCTGAAGAGTATCTCATGGCACTTGGATTGAGGTTATGGAAAGTGCAAAGGCGGGCGTTTTGCCCCCACGCTCCACTGCGCTTTTATTTGATTGGTCTCTCTCTCTCTCTCTTTCTCGCTCTCTTGTCTTAGCTCAACCTCGTTCTGCTGATGATCACTTTACACAAGATGATTCGAAACTCATCGCCGCTCAAGCCTGACTCCAGCCGTCTGGATAGCATCAAGTGAGATGGACTTTTGAGCTCAGACTTTTAGTTTATTTCACTTTTTTTTTTTTTTAACATCGAGTAATTGGCACCAAACTGAAGTCTTCAGATGAATTCAGAATATTTTATCTTCACAGGCAATATGGAAACAGTGATGCCTTGATTTACAAGCGACTCCAAAGAGCTTTACGGGTGCAAGATGTCGCTCAGCTAAATTTTGTATTATTATTTTTTGCTTTGAGTAGTCAAACGTTGAATTGCAGATGATCTCCACGCATCAATTTTTGTAAACATTTGTCACGCAGATGTTAAAAGATGTGAACTCCTGTTAAAGTTGAAAATAAAAAACATTCTTCCTGAACAACCCTAGTAAAGGGACCAAAATGAATGTCTCGAATTTGATATGACACGGAGAAGACTATTCTTTACAAGCCTTCAAAAGGTTAATTAATTTTAAAAAATGCAAAGTATATAAAATACTAAAACTCCAAAATCATGAAAAATAGAGACCACCTTGCAGGACTGTGTGAGCATGTTTGCCGAAGCTGACCTCCATCTGTCAAAAAATATGTTTTTAATTTTCTGTTCACCTTTCTAATCATCTTTTTGATGTGATGTCGTGCTGTCTTCCAGGTCGTGGGTGTTGGGTGCCATCACCCTGTTGTTCCTCTTGGGGCTGACGTGGGCGTTCGGCCTGATATTCATCAACGAGAATTCTCTGATCATGGCGTATCTTTTCACCACCTTCAACGCCTTCCAGGGCATGTTTATCTTCATCTTCCACTGCGCTCTTCAGAAAAAGGTACCTGATAAGGCTACGTTTATGACGCAGTTCATTCTGGCCCATAGTTTACCCACAGATACCAGTTTGTGATCGTCACTTTCACATTTCTTACATTCTGTAAAATTTTCTACAAATGAAATGCGGACACCAAGCATTTTTGGAACCCATTTGGCAGAGTCAAACAAAGCC